TGTAATTCGTAATTCCGGCTGGTATCATTTTGTACCAACAAACTGCCAAATTGTTGTACGAAGCAAATATTGGCACATGTGACAGCTCTAGACGCCATGTTGGACTAAGAAAAGGTAACGGAGATCTAAATTTCATAAATTTTTTGCGTTCTCAGCATAACCTCTACCAGCCGGAACTACAATGATGCCTATACTTTAATCGTGGAGAAGGATTTTTTAATTTGTTGCCTTTAATTATTTATTTTTATATTGTTTATTTTGTTTTGGAAAATAATCGCGTTCGATCGATAAAACAGACGACTTTAGGATCGCCTTAAGAGGTTTTGTTGGTGGGGATTACTATGTCGAATGTGATTGATTGGCCACTGCAATAATATGGCGTTTTGTATTGGCTGCGGGGGAATATGTTCCCTCCTGTTATTTCTTACCTCCATGGTTTTCATGTTATGATTTGATCGACAATGTTATAAGATGTGGTACGTAGTTCTTTTTTTGAAAACGTGGGGCGCTAGTGAACGAGTGAGATCGCCGGTCCCACCTAAAAGGCTGGCGTAGCCGCTCTTACGCTTCTCTCTGGTACTAATATCTGTATAATTGTAAGGAGAATATAAAACAGATGTGAACACGTAAGTACAAAATTTGTGTCAGATTATAAAAATTTGTTTAAGTTGATAAAATGTGATGAAGTGAACAGTACTGACAAGATATGTAATAGGCATTTCCATCATCTAGAATACGTCGAAAAGGGAAAAAATACGCTTACTCGAATGGCGTCGGACGAGCATAAACGTTTGGCTGATATCGTGAAAGGAACTCATGCCTTGTTACGCGCCGAGTATCATCAATATGGCGCTGAGATCGCGTGGGACCGCCATTTGGCGCGAAACGACGTACTACAGGTAAACAGGTCTACTTCTGGCCGGAAGCACAGTCTTTTGCATAACGCTGAATATAATATTTAATTATTTAATTTAATATTATTCCAGAAATATGCTACATCCATGCAAAAATTAGCCACTAAGTGCTGGATGGATAGTAATTCCAATTTGAGGAATGGAACGTACTGTAGAATGGAATGGATAAAAACTCAGTGCAAAGAATATTTTTTCAACAGTGGTAGAGAGAAATATAACAAAAGAGAGCAGGACATAAACGCTAAAATGACTCTATTTTCAACGAGATCGAGCGATGAAAGTGTAACGTCCAAAGACAACTCGAGTTGTACAGAAAATGGATTACAAAATTATTATGAACGAAAAATATCGCTTTTGGATGTAGGAAGTTGTTACAATCCTCTAAGTGTTGACAATGCGTTTGATGTCACTGCGATAGATTTAATTCCTACAGTAGAAGGAGTCTATCGATGTGATTTTTTGAACGTTGCGATCGGAAGGAAAAAAAATCTCTCGCAAGACACGTGGGAAATTCGTCAATTGCCTGCGAATTTTTTCGATTCTGTGGTGTTTTCTCTATTATTGGAATACTTGCCATGTCCAAAACAGAGATATGTCTGCTGCAGAAATGCATATGATGTGTTGAAGAGCAGTGGCATACTAATTATTGTGAGTCCGGACTCGAAACATGTTGGTGCAAACGCGAGACTGATGAAATCCTGGAGGTACACCCTGAGCAGAATGGGATTCATGAGAATCAAGTACGAGAAATTGCGTCACATTCACTGTTTGGTATTCAGGAAGTGCATATACAAAGATGTAGCAATACAGTGGTCCAAGTTGCAACATTTTTCTGAGGTTGACAAAAAATATGTGTCTGAGACGAAGATTTTTATTCCGCAGGATTTTCAGGCCTCCCATTTAAAAAAAAAACAAGAAAAATTGGTCGAGTATGAAGAAACTGATTTAGCAAGCGCTTTCTCTGAATTACCGTTTAACGACGAAGTGCCAACATGACACTTTATTATTTATTTTGTTGGCAATTTAGTGTTTTTATGTTGACGTTAAATAAAACATTTTATGCCAAACACTCAAGACTTTATAATTTTCACAGTTATTATACCTAGTTTATTATAATTAGATAAATTAGTAAAATATAATTTTATATGTATAAATAAACAAGATACTTATATACAGGGTGTCCCTGTATAAGTAGCCATCCCTTTTTATCTCGTAAATTAACAGAGATAGATCTAATAAAAATAATTAATATCAAATTAAACGGCTCTGACTAAACTTTATTGTAAGCACAGTGATCACTTGGAAATATTATTTTTGTTAAAAAGCGGAATGACATGATTATAATTTTTGCATGGTAAAGTGACAATTTTAATATGATAAAAGTTGTAGCGTTCTTTTTAACGAATACAACGATGTATGATGTAACAAAATTATCTTACGAATTATAAGAATTATTTTGATTTAAAGTTTTGTGGGCGGTTATACTACCTTTTCAATTTCCTGCGATGTGGCCAACTTCCGACTCTGGCATTGACGAGAGTACTATGATTAGATGAAAATATTATACGTCAATCGTCAACGCGGAAGTCGGAAGTTATACCGTAAGCCATACCGTAGGGCCGAAACTGAAAAGGTAATAATCCACAAAATCTTAAACCAAAATAATTTGTATAATTTGTAAGATAATGTCGTTATATCACATATTGTTGTATTCGTTAAAAAGAACGCCACAACTTTCATCTATTAAAATTGTCACTTTACATTACAAAAATTATGCATGTTTCTCCGCTCTCTAAAATAGATAATGTTTCTAAGTGATCACTGTGCTTACAATAAAGTTTAGTTAGAGCCGTTTAATTTGATATTATATTTATTAGGTCTATCTCTGTTAGTTTACGAAATAAAAAGGGATGACCACTTATATGGGGACACTCTATATATATATTATATATATAGAGTGTCCCCATATAAGTGGTCATCCCTTTTTATTTGGCATATACTATTAAAGATCGATATCTTATGGAAGTTCGCATGACTGCAATATGCATATATTTTAAGACTTGATAATATTCAATTTTGATTCAAAAATACAATTTTGTTATTATATATTATATTATCCGGATTTGAATTATTTATGCAAATATAACAATTAACTGTCGAAAAAGTGTATATTCGTTATAACGTATGATATTACATTGCGTTGTAATTATGCATTATTATTATTATTATTATTTAGTTTTCATTAAGAAACTATACAATATCGCTAATAATGTTCCGTTTTTTGCATTTTCATGTATTTTTACTGTGTTAATTTTGAATGTTTATTCTCCTTAGAGTGATTTGTCTACACCTCACTAGAGGGAGCCTTTTCAAATGGCACTCGCGAATCGTTGTATTTCTTCTATCTATGATATAGCCATTGGGATAACTTTTCCTCCCCGCCATCTTAAAAAATTCTTTCTTGTTGCCTCTTCCTGCTGATGCACGTGGTACGTCAAATTTTGCCTTTATTATCGAATTTCTTTTAACAATCCATTGCGTTGGAGTATGTAATTTACAATTGTGATGTATTCTAAATTATCAAACGTTTCCACAACACAGAAGTATTCGCGTAAAATCATATTTTTACAATCAATGCGTATCATACGTAACCTAAAAAAATCTGTCCAGTTCTATTTTTATTAATAATAAATAATAATTAATTTAATTTAATAAATCTGTCTTTCATTTAGAATATGTAATTAGATTCAAAATAATAATATAACTCATAGATATATATGTAATTACGGTGCAAAGTGATAATCTTGATTGTCACAGGAAGTTCAAGATGTCGTCACACTTGAATTGGATGATAATCCGCGACAACAATGCCTTTCTTCTCAAGAAGCGCAACATCAATAAGCCGTTTTCTACGGTTTGTAACTTGCTGCATCTTGAAGCGTTATTAATATCAATAACTTTGAGAGGTTACGTCTGAATAATATATTTCCTACCAAGTACATAAGTTAATAACTGTTTAGGAGGCCAACAACTTGACGAATTTGAGCAGTTATCGTTACTCCGGTGTGATTCACCGTAAGAGCGTGGGCATCGTTGATACTCCTGACAAAAAGGGTTTCACAGTTGTCTACAAGAAGGCCAAAGCGGTCAACAAGCCCGCCAAAGCTACTGTAAAGAGCACGATGAAGGCAGGAGCTCGTCGTTCTCTTCACAAGTTGAAGACTCTTCTTAGAAAGAACAAGTATCGTGTAGATCTTACTAAGGTATGCAAAATAGAATTGTTAAGTAGCTTATTTTACTGTTGTGTACTTCAAATAAAATTTTTAAAGAAAAAGTATCAATTGACAACTGACATATGGTTCAAAATATAAACAAAATTTTTATATCTTCAAACTAATGTTAATTAGATTTTTAATAATTGAGAGATTCATTGTTAGCAATTCTGTATGAAGTATTTTACCATGATTTTCAGTATAAGTGCACTCAAGTTTTATGCAATTGACATTAATTTTCAAAGGTATATTAACTTTTAGCAGCTAAAAAATTAATTTTATTTTAAAAAACAAGAAATTTAATTAAAAATTCCTTTTTCTTTACATAATTATAATTTTGATTTTAATTGTATGCTATTTGTCATTTGATACTACATTAATATTATAACATGACATTAATGTGTTTTTTAGGCTGCACTACGACGAGCCAGTGCTGTACTGCGATCACAAAAACCGCTTCCCACTAAGAAAACACGAACTACTAAAAAGACCGATTAATTTGTATACTTAATTGAATATACATTGTAAATTAAAATATTTGTTATGGACGATATATTTTGTGAAGTAAGTGTGCTTTAGCTTTTCGAAATTCTTTGTTTTGACAATTGTATTATTTGCAACTGATTTACAAAAGAAAACTTTGCTGTGCACCCTTACTTTACAGATATATCATGTTTTGATCAACACAATATACATTTTAATTAAATAAAAATATGTATATTTTTAAAGGTAAGCATTTAGTTATTTATGAGCATTTTTTTAGATGACTGCTTTATGTTAATGTAAATCAATGTAAATTAATGCTCTCTTTATTAAATTTATTACATTGCGATGTTTGAGTTTTACATTATGGAATTTTATTTTTAGATTGAAAGGAAAATCAATTGATGCATTTTCGGCGATTGTAATCTGCAAAAAACCAGGTTTTAATTAGGTAAGTTTTATTTATCTATAGTTTTTTATTATGTGATTTATTACATAAATCGAAAGAGATGATGGGTAATTATTAAAATCTTGAAACAAAACAAATGATTTGCATATTTGTTAACTGATAATCATCAAACTAAAATTTTAAATTTAAGAAAAACATTGTGTGCGTGCGTTTATATTTTAAATCATTTTTTAAATAAAATGATGTTATTTGTAATCACCAAGATTTATGAATGCCATATTTCAATTTGTCACTTCTGATCATAAACTTCAACCAAATATATTGATATTATTTAATTTATAACGAACACAAAATTTTCTTTAATTTTCAGATTTGATAAATCCCTGGAAATTGTAACAAGGATAAAGATTACAGGTAATTTTTATTACAATTTTCTAATTGCGCGCGCGCGTTTGTGCGTATGTAAGATATCAACAAGTTTATAAAAATGATGATAATTATTCACCAAGATCTATGAGTGCCATGATTTGTAGTATTTGCTAACTGATTATTACTTATACATAAGTCTGAAATTCAAGTGAAAATAGCAGTTTAACTAACAATTAATTTATTATTTAGGTTGCTTATAAATCTTAAGTGAAACGGCATCTTGGGATTGTCTGAAGGTACTTATATATTTTTATATTTTGAACCATTTTTTAACCCTTCATGATCACACTGGGCCAAAATGACCCGAGCATAATTTTATGCTAGATTTCAGAAATCTTCAAAATACCTTTTTGAAACACATAATCATATTTGTTTCTTAAAAGTATATTCATCTTAAGAGTATTAGGCTAAAATTTTATTTAAAAATATTAAAAATTTAAAAAGTTATGATTTTTTAAGTAAAAAAAATCTTATTTTTTTAAGTTAACACGTTTATGATTTTTTTTAGTGTTAAGATTAAATTTTTCACTAAAATGCTATGTTTGTTTTAATTTCTTATAAAGATTGAAATTATATACTGTAATTTTTTGAAGTTAATGGAACTAATACTGTTGATTTGATAATACTTTAAAAACGACTCGGGGTCATTTTGTCTCATCGTGTAACTACATAATATGAAGTGTGACCATAAAGGGTTAAATAAAATGATGTTACTGTGATCACCAAGATCTATGAATGCTGTGATATTTCAATTTGCTACTTCTGATTTTATAAATTCTAACAAAATTTATTGATAATATTATTCAGTATAACAAACAGAATTTTTTGTTTTTTCTCAGATTCGATAAATCTTTGGAAATCGCAACTAATGATAAAGATTGCAGGTAATTTTTACTCATCACAATTTTCACAATTATATGTATATATGTGTATGACATATAGAGATGATGATAATTATCCACCAAGATCTATGATTACCATGATCTGTAGTATTTGCTAACTGATCATTTATATTAGTTTGAAATTCAAGTAAAAAAGGTAGCAGTTTTAACTAACAATTAATTTATTATTTAGGTTGCTTGTAAGTCTGAAATAAAACGCCATCCTGAGATTGTTGAAGGTATTTCTACTTACATACTTTTATATTTTAAACCATTTTTAAAATAAAATGATGTTATTGTAATCACCAAAATTATGAATACCATGATATTTCAATTTGCTACTTCTGACTTCATAAACCTTATACAAATTAATTGATAATTTTATTCAATATATAACGAATGGAACTTTTTGTTTATTTTCCAGGTTCGCCAAATCTCTGAAAACCAATGACAAAGATTGCAGGTAATTTTTATTGATCATAATTGTTTGAAATTGCGCGCGCATATGTGTAATATATCAACAAATTTATAAAAATGATGATAATTATCCACCAAGATCTATGAGTGTCATGATTTGTAGTATTTGCTAACTGATTATTACTTACATAAGTAATAATCAGTATTCTGAAATTCAAGTAAAAATAGCAGTTTAACTAACAATTAATTTATTATTTAGGTTGCTTTAAATCTTAAGTGAAACGGCATCTTGAGACTCTGAAGGTACTTATATGTTCTTATATTTTATACCTTATACCAGACCTTTGAAGGTACTTATATTTTAAACCATTTTTTAAATAAAATGATGTTACTGTAATTATTAAGGTCTATGAATGCTATGGTATTTTAATTTACTGCTTCTATCTTCATTAATTTCAACAAAATATATTAATAATTTTATTCAATATATAACGAACACAATTTTCTATTTCTTAAATTCGCCAAAATCTCTGGAAATCGTAACTGATGAGAAAGATTGCAAGTAATTTTTATTTTTCAATTTTTTAAATTATATTTTTTAAAATTTATATAATTAGATATTTTATATGTATTTATATATGTTCTGATATGAAACATTTTTATTAAGTTCATAAATTCATTATTCTTGAAGACTTTACGAACGATAAAATAAGGAAAATTTCTTCCATATCATATAATTAGTCTTTAAAAGGGAGTGCCTCTCGCATCCTGAAATGTATTAATATATTCTTCAAAATATTTAGCATGTACTCGTAGTTATGTATAATTTTCGTAAGTTAATAATTAATGTAAACTTATGACAAGAAAATCTATTTTTGCAATTTAACATAACACTCATTTATATTGAAATTTAAACAAAACTCAATATAGTTGTTTTGCAATTAACAAATTGACTTTTTAGTGTGAGATCTAATAACGTTAATAAGAGTATAAATGGTTTCTACGCTTTTACTTGAAGTTTGTATTGATAATTTAACATTTATTCTAATTAATTTTATCTTAATTTAAAAATTGATATGTTACTATTAAATTTATTAGCAGCTTTCAAATTTTTTGTAATTCACGAAGGTTAATTATATGAGTCCATGATTACTTTTTTCACCATTTAATATTCTTAAAATTTTTTGTCACCCAAAATATTTCTTGAATTTTATCATGTGTCAGAAATAAAAAAAACACGTAACATATTATTTCTGACGTAACAAGATTTGTTTAAAAAAAGTTTAAAATTATATATAGTTTAAAATTATATCTATTGAAAATTTTCACCTAAAATAGTACACATGCTCATGTTATTTAGAGCACCATCAGTTGTGGAAAAGACTTTATAATCTATTTTATGCAATATCAATTGTTTAAATACAAGTATTAATAAATTTCGGCTGTTCTATACTGCTCAATGATTTTATTAAAAAATATCCAACTGGAACTATCATTCAGAGATACAGCTATGGACATTATTTTTAATAGTAGAAATAGACTCGTTTTTTCGTTCAACGTTGTTTTTCGTGTTCAAAAATACCATAATTAATATCATCATTAAATTTTTCTTTATCAGAAATTATTTCTCTCTCTCTCTCTTTCTCTGTTCCCTTATTGCCATTTTATCTATAATTAACAAGAGATTTATTATTGCACAGTGCAATGGTATTTGATCTAATGGTATTTGCATCTAACGTCTTGTGAAACTTGGAGATCCATTAATAGTGCGATCCTAATTTCATATCATGAAAGGATATCGTAATAAGTAATTTTACATCTCGTATATAATTATACGCTTTAAGTGAATAAAAGTGCAATGTATCAATTTACTTTAATAAAAATTTTCTGTTTTAGTTTTGTAAATACTTTGTATTTTTTTTATCTACTTTCTTAATAAAATCGATTATTCTCGCTCTTCTCGGTATACTAACATCAAAAGTAATAATTTCTGAAATATATCTTAGGCTCTGCAAAGAAGTGCTTTTTGGAGAAGAAATAACGTCAGAAATAATGTCGAATTAATTGATTTGCTACATAATATAAAATTGTATGTACCCAAAATGAATGTTCATTACTAATCATTCATCATTAAAATGCAAAGTATGTTAAGATAGTTCAATACTTCAATGTTTAATAATAAATACAAATATAGGACGTATAATAAAAGATTGCGTATTAATTGATTCACTCAGAACAGAATTTATAATTCCTTTTATTATACGTCTAGGAAAAAATGTTTTATATGTTATTAAATTTATTTTGTACTATACCATTATATTATCTTCAGTCTCTTCAGAAATTAATCTTTTGATTGTTCCAAATGAGATATGAAATTTTGCAATGTAAGAATTCGCTTTAAAAGCTTTCTGTTTTGATTTTGTAAACACTTTATTTGTTTGCATTTCTTTTGGTCTATTTTCTTAATAAAATCGATTATTCTTTTCGCTTTTCTTGGTGTACTAACATCAGAAATAGTAATTTCTGAAATATATCTTGGCTCTGCAAAGAAGCGTTTTTTTGGAGAAGAAATAACACTAGAAATAGTAACTTCTGAAATATGTCTTGGTTCTGCAAACAAGCCTTTTTTCGGAGAAGAAAAGTTCTTTTCAGAATCTAAAAATATAAAATATTAATTACAAAAATTTTATATTATTTCCCTTTACTATTAGTATGTATTTTAATTTACTTCTATATTATTTTTATTTAACTTACATGAATAAGCTTTCATTGGTTGGACTTTATAATCAGCATCTATAACGTCCGATATAGTTGAAGATATAATTTTTACATTAGGTGATTTCGACATATTTGTACTCTCTATTATTGGCACTAAAAATAGAAAATATTTGTCCTTAAAATCAATATATGTATTTTCATTTATTTTCATATAATTTAACTTACAAGAATGAAAAGCAGGAGTTTTCGATATTGGTTGAACTGCATAATCATGATCATCTATTACATACGATGTAGATGATGATCTAATTTTTATTTCAGGCAATTTCGATATATTTGTACTGTCTATTATTGGCTCATTATTATTTGAAATATTTGATAATTCAAGTGGATGATTTAGTATTTCTGGAGAATTAGTCTTATTTATTGCCGCATTTGTAACGTTTATATTGGGTACGGCTCCAGGAGGTAGTTTCTTCAATGCAATTATTTTCTGAGATAATTCAAAGTGATATGAGCAAATATATAAATGAGATACATCTTGATGGTGCAATCCACATGCTTCGATCCATTTTTGACGTATTTGTGGTATCTTCGGAAATCTAAAAAGAATTTAATTTTGTTTATTATGAACACATACTCTTATTAATTTGTCAAGTATACTTACTTATGTAAAGAAACCTTTTCAACCTTTGTGGCTTTTCTTCCACATAAATAACAGGATCGCATTATTTCTTTTCAACGTTACGTTTATGTACGTACACATATACACTGTGTGGACATTACTTTGAGTATATAGTACATGGAGGTGGAATGCCTTTGTTTTCTATAGGCCGCAAATGGTCAAGAGTGGCAAAGAGTGCGAGAGAGAAAGGTATACGAGTGATACCATGGCTTCGTTCCGTTTGGCGCTTACAG